CTTCCATCACACTTTAAGCTGGTTGTGAGAGGGTGATAGCCGTCGCTACCCCGTTGCTATAGTGTTATCATGTAGGTCACTGCTAAAGGGGGATGACGATATCATTCCTGCCTCAGAATGGCACTGGCGTGCCATTTACACCTGCCTGAGTGCCAAATAACGTGACAACTGGCTGTTTGACACACACACACACACACACACACACACACACACACACGCACACACACACACACACACACACACACATAGAGGTGTGTTCGTTGAGAGGCGGGACCAAAGAGCCAGAGCTCAACCCTCGCAAGCACAACTAGGTGAGTACACACACACACACACGTTATAAGTAGCTATATGACATATAAACACGTGACCACCGCCTGACAGTAAGGATATCAGCCACAGGGACGCACTCACCTTCAGAGTTGCAGACAGAACCCGTCTGTCACCACTCCACCAGGTGATACTTGGTGGAGGACGAGCTCCCACAGCCACACACTCGACCACATACTCAATCCCAGCCCTCAAAGCCGGCGTCCGAGGCGGCCGGATTTCCACACTTAATGGCGCCACTGTGGAATAAAAAATGACACAGTAGTCAATGGCGGATGAGAAATGCTGGAGAGAGAGAAACAGGAGTAGAAATAGACAGCAAATAGGGAATAAATGAGACAGATTGTTAGTAAATAAAGTTGGGAATATAATGGAATAGACAGTGAAATCAGGGGAATGAAATTGACAGTAAGAATAGGGAATGTAATAGACAGGAATAGGAATAGAAATATTCAACAAAGATGACTGGAAATACAAGCATGAACATACAGAAAGATATATACACAATACGGAAAATGGGTGTATTAATGGCATGTCCCTTCACGTAGGAGCCACGTGTTGATTGTGTTCAACTCCTTGATTGTGTTCCCCTTATTGATTGTGTTCTGTTGATTGTGTTCTCCTTGTGTTCTGTTGATTGTGTTCCCCTTATTGATTGTGTTCTGTTGATTGTGTTCTCCTTGTGTTCTGTTGATTGTGTTCTCCTTGTTGATTGTGTTCTGTTGATTGTGCTTCCCAGAGTGACCGTTCCAACCATCAAAGTGGTGTTTACTAAAGATGTAAGTACTCTCCTAGTTGTGCTTGCGGGGATTGAGCTCTGGCTCTTTGGTCCCGCCTCTCAACCGTCAATCAACTGGTGTACAGGTTCCTGAGCCTATTGGGCTGTATCATATCTACATTTGAAACTGTCTATGGAGTCAGCCTCCACCACATCACTGTGTGTGTGTGTGTGTGTGTGTGTGTGTGTGTGTGTGTGTGTGTGTGAGTGTGAAAGCGACGGGAAGAAAGTATTTTCTCTGTCGTCGTAATACACAGGAGAGACCACAAGGACACTGAATAAATTACAAAACTTCTCCTGGGCAAGTCAGACTGGATCACAAACCCCAACACACTATCCAAACTTCGGCCACACATTATCTCAACCCAACAGTGTGACGTAATGGAAACTCATAAAGATATCTAAGTTTACGGCTCACAAGGAAGCCAGCGACTCACAATTCATGTCGACGGAGAGACTGCTGGAGGTCGCTTGTGTGAGATTGCTGTTGAAGGCTTTGCATGTAAGTAGCACTTGGAGGTGACTTCGAGTGAGAGGACCTAGAGTGAGAGTGTTGTACACTTCCCCCTCGAAAGCACGTCGTGGTGGTAGTGGAGATGTTGCTGCGCCTGGAGGGCCAGTTCCGAGGGTCGACAGATGTCCTACTCCAAGGGCTTCGCTGTGGCTTACTGAGATATCCGACTCCATCTCGCTATCCAGCAGGTGAGCATCTCCATACCACACAACAGTCGGTCGTGGACTCCCTAGAGAAACAAATTGTGAAGTTTCTATTATACAAACTCATGTTTATTTCTCCTGATATAGCACCAATGGTGGTGCTATCGGGCTTAAGGATAAAATGTAGGCGATGAGTCACAATAACGTGGCTGAAGTATGTTGACCAGTCCACACACTAGAAGGTGAAGGGACGACGACGTTTCGGTCCTGGACCATTCTTAAGACAATCGACTTGAGAATGGTCCAGGACGGACCGAACCGTCGTCGTCCCTTCATTTTCTAGTGTGTGGATTGGTCAACATATATACAATATATACGTACTGCCATCGTCTAGATCTATAACAAACATTAATTTAATGGTACCTGCTCAACATATTAATATATATTAATACATATTAATACATATTAATATTTTCAGTGTCTGTTTACTTTAGAATGTGTAAGTATAAGTAGTCTGGCATAATGGTGTTTCCAGATATATTGGGGGAGAGTGACAGTGAAAATGACAAGTAACAGTGACAAGAGTGGCAAGTAGACACCTTTGGAGGCTTCAATGTCGTAACGTGTAATGTCACTGTACATTTAGTGATGTCGAGGAAACACACATCACTACTCTCTACAACACACGCAACACTCTCTACAACACACGCAACACTCTCTACAACACACGCAACACTCTCTACAACACACGCAACACTCTCTACAAGTAACACACAACACAACTCCGCTTCAGAGCGAGACGTGTACCGCTGGAGAACACGTTTCAACCGGCGCCCCCCCCCTCCCCCCTGAAACTTTGCACAGGAAACAAAAATCCACAGCAAAGGAAATTGGAAGGTATTCGGACGGAAGTTTATGGAAGAAAGAACTGCCTAACGCCATTCAGAGGGAATAAAGTTGGCGGTGGTGGCGGTGAGGACGCAGCACGAGAAATAAAAACAGCGAGAGACGGAAAATTGATGGAGTCTAAGCCTTGCTGAAGTAAATTTACTTTTTTTTAGAGGGAAAGAGTATAGGAAAGAGAAGTATTGGTGGCGAATTTCACCGCCAGATTCACGACCAATAGAGGCCAGAATAGGGAGCTTGGGATAGGTTCCTCCCCTATCCACCTTGTCAATAACGGAAGGCTCGAACCATAAAACCTTTTCCGATAGGTAACGTGATGTCTGGCAGGGTTCGAGGTAATTTTTTTTTATGAAAACTAATCCGTAGAAAAAATAATAAATGATACTGTTGGCTATTGCGTTGTCGAGTGAAAACCAGTCTTGCCATACAAGAAATTTAACTACATTACCGGAAGACATAATATCATCTCAAGCATGACACGTTTTGCCGAGAGGGTTTCGCTTCATGCATGCAGGTCGGCGTTCAATCCCCGACCGTCCACCAAGTAGTTGGGGCACCATTCCTTTCCCCTCGTCCCATCCCAAATCCTTATCCTGACCCCTTCCCAGTGCTATATAGTCGTAATGGCTTGGCGATTTCCTTTGATAGTTCCCTCCCCAGACGGAAGACAGACAGACATTTTGACCTCAAACTTGACCCTCCAATTCGACGTCTTTACGACCTATGATCTGTCTTACGCTCATACTCAAGAACTAGGACAGTAAGACTTGCCTTGAGACGCAGTGAGGTAGATCATGATTCTCGTTCGAGGCTCGTTATCTTGAGGTTATCTTGAGATGATTTCGGGGCTTAGTATCCCCGCGGCCCGGTCCTCGGCCAGGGCTCCTTTTTGTTACATATCCCCCAGGAAGCAGCCCGTAGCAGCTGTCTAATTCCCAGGTACCTATTTACTGCTAGGTGAACAGGGGACATCAGGGTGATAGAAACTCTGCCCATTTGTTTCCACCTCTACCGGTGATCGAACCCGGAACCTCAGGACTACGAATCCCGAGCGCTGTCCACTCAGCCGTCAAACCCCTTCCATTGAAGAAATGAAAAAACCTAGACGAGAGGCTGCCAAACCGTTTCCGTTTTTTATGGATTTAATCCGAGCACAAGGAAGGTTTCAATTGTTATGATTGTCTATCCACCAGGCATTGTTCGTTATCCAACAGGCAGTGTTCGTTATCCACTTGTTATATTTGGTGAGGTCCTGAGTGTTTGTGTGGTCACTGGTGAGGTCCGGGCCGAGGGCCCTCAGGAGAACAATGCCGCCTCTGAGTGCAATAGTGAATAATTGGATCAGTTTAGGGTGCGATTATCTCCAGAATATTCATAGCTGCTGCTCCCGTGGCTTGGTGATGCCCAATCGCTCTCACTCTCTCTCATCTCCTGGCTCAAGCATCCTCAATCACCATCATGGAGCCGCTAGCCAACTGCGTTCCTGATGCTGATTGGTTGGATTTGCTTCTTTTTTTTAATGCATGTTAATTGTGAATGTTTTCCTGATGTGCTAATTAGGCAGAGGTCAGAGTGGGAGAGAATTTGTTGTTAGGTCGTCTGTATAGTTGTAATAACTGGGGGCCTCGTAGCCTGGTGGATAGCGCGCAGGACTCGTAATTCTGTGGCGCGGGTTCGATTCCCGCACGAGGCAGTAACAAATGGGCAAAGTTTCTTTCACCCTAAATGCCCCTGTTACCTAGCAGTAAATAGGTACCTGGGTGGGAAATACAAGTATGTTGTACTGGTCGTTCAACAAGTGGAATGCTTGTTAAAGAATAAGTTGTGGAAGCCACCTCCATTTTATGGCCAAATTCAGCAAAGAATTTGAACGTCAAAATAGTTAAAATCTATTCCGTAAATGGTACAAAAACGCTAATTGCGGGGAACGAAGAACTAAATCTTTCTTCCCCGTTGTCACTGTTAGAAAAGCACTGACAGGTAAGTACACATACAAGCACTCAACACCCCCCCCCCTTCCCAACACACACACACGCACACACACACATGCACATGCACACACATACACGAGCAACGGGACACAGATTTAAACTGAGTACCCAAACGAGCCACAGACATGTTAGAAATATTTTTTTAGTATCAAGGTAGTTAATAAATGTAATGCATTAGGCAGTGATGTGGTGGAGGCTGACTCCATACACAGTTTCATATGTAGATATGATAGAGCCTAATAGGCTCAGGAATCTGTACACCTGTTGATTGACAGTTGAGAGGGGGGACCAAAGAACCGAAGCTCAACCCCCGCAAGCACAACTAGGTGAGTACAACTTTTGGAACACACACACACACACACACACACACACACACACACACACACACACACACACACACACTAACAAACACCTATACCAGTCATTCTGTATAGGCGTTTTCTCATAATTACTAAATTAAACTCACACACACACACACACACTCACTCAGGAATCTGTACACCAGTTGATTGACAGTTGAGAGACGGGACGAAAGAGCCAGAGCTCAACCCCCGCAAGCACAAATAGGTGACTACACACACACACACACACACACACACACACACACACACACTCACACACACACATAATCACACTAAAATTGCCAATAAAAACCTTCCATTATAGTCTGAAGTACCCGTCACAATGCTATTTTTTTGCCATCCCACAGTCTGACGTACAACAGTGACACAGGTTAATTGGAGTGTCAGATCTACTATGCTCTTTGAAAAAGGAGCCAAGAATTGCATGCATGTGAATGTTAAAAGAATTGAAAATTCCATGCAATCATTTTCATTTCGTTTAACAATATTTATATTCTGCAGTCATATTAAAAATTTGTTTCCCAATTGCTAATAATTTTTTATCTATATTAACCCTTTATCAAATATAAATTATGAAAAGTGTGTGCTAATATTATCATTGTAATATTGTAATAATTTATCAATAATTATAATTATAAATAATTTATAAATGCAATTCGAATTAAATAGTAAATACACAATACAATAGGTATAAACCTCTCTCAATTGAATAGTTGTATTTTATTTTAGATTGCAAACGTAAATATTGAAAAATTTTATTATGACTGAAGGGGTGAAATATATTTTTATAGCACGAATATACTCTATTTTTTTCCACTTGAGAACAAAGTTGAAAATTTAGCTCTCCAAAAGTATATTTTATAGATATATTATGTCCTCGTAATATGAGATGTTTCGTTGTCAGTGTCAACATCATCAACGGCTGAGTACGTTGTTGTTGCTGTTATAGATTCAGCTACTTGGAACAAGTTCCAAGTAGCACGGGCTATGGTGAGCCCGTAACTTACCTGGCACAGGAGCGGGGCAAGTAGCACGGGCTATGGTGAGCCCGTAGTGGACTTACCTGGCACTGGAGCGGGGCAAGTAGCACGGGCTATGGTGAGCCCGTAGTGGACTTACCTGGCACAGGAGCGGGGCAAATAGCACGGGCTATGGTGAGCCCGTAGTGGACTTACTGGCACTGGAGCGGTGCTGAATGTGGCTGAGTACGTTTGGTTACAATTTTAGAACAGCAGAATGTATAACTTTGGGTGAAGTGCTTCACCTCACCCAAGATTATATATTCTATAGCTTATGCAGACGAGGAGTCACAATAACGGGGCTGAAATATATTGACCAGACCACACACTAGAAAGCGAAGAGACGACGACGTTTCGGTCCGTCCTGGACCATTGCACAGGCCACAATCAACTTGAAAATGGTCCAGGACGGACCGAAACGTCGTCGTCCCTTCACCTTCTAGTGTGTTACAATCGACTTGTAAATGGTCCAGGACGGACCAAAACGTCGTCGTCCCTTCACCTTCTAGTGTGTTACAATCGACTTGAGAATGGTCCAGGACGGACCAAAACGTCGTCGTCCCTTCACCTTCTAGTGTGTTACAATCGACTTGTAAATGGTCCAGGACGGACCGAAACGTCGTCGTCCCTTCACTTTCTAGTGTGTGGTCTGGTCCACTGCTGTAGCTTACAGTGCCCTGTGTTTCACTGATGGTGGGGGCAGTATGGTGTGTGTTTTATCGTGTTCTCAAACATGGCAGAGTGAAAAAATTATAGCTCGGTTGATAGAGCTTTGGCCTCTCACACATGGAGTCCAGGGTTCGAGTCTCCTAGGACCCTGATGATTGGAATGGCAGAGTGTAATCGCCAGTGTCCAATCTTCTATTATCTTCTTAACTTTTGATTATTTTAGTGTTGTTTGGTGCTCCTGATAACACTAAAATAATCGACTGAGAATATCTTTCTATTGGGAGGCCAGATGCTTGTGGATAGCTTCACTCAATTTTGTACATTAATTGATGATGGGTCACTGCCCTACACGGCCGGGTCAGGATTGCTCGGGAGAGGAGGAGAGGTATCTTCACTTCACCGGAGCCGCCTCATCTCCAATAAACCCCCCTTCCCCCCCTTCCCCCCTTCCCCCCCTCCCCCCTCTCCCTCCCCTCCCCTCCACCCACCACCCACAACAGGAAGACTGTTGTATACTAAGCAATGAAGAGGTGCTTCTTAATATTATACAACTTTAAGAAATATTGGCATTTTAACAGATGTCGATATTCCTTTTAAACGTAAGACACTGGATCAATCCTGACTGGCCTATGATATTCCCATACCCCACGTGTGTCATCTTACCCTGGCCTATGACACTCCCACACCCCCTATGTGTCATCATAGCCTGGCCTATACCACTCCCACATCCCACATGTGTCATCTTACCCTGGCCTATGACACTCCCACACCCCCTATGTGTCATCTTACCCTGGCCTATGCCACTCCCACACCCCATATGTGTCATCATAGCCTGGCCTATGCCACTCCCACACCCCACATGTGTCATCTTACCCTGGTCTATGACACTCCTACACCCCCTATGTGTCATCTTACCCTGGCCTATGACACTCCCACACCCCCTATGTGTCATCTTACCCTGGCCTATGACACTCCCACACCCCCTAAGTGTCATCTTACCCTGACCTATGACACTCCCACACCCCTTATGTGTCATCATACCCTGGCCTATGCCACTCCCATACCCCACATGTATCATCTTGGCCTCCAGGCATAAATTCGGATACCAAAAATAGCAATTCTTTTCTCTAAATATGAATATATTCATATATTTTTCAATGTGCAAGGTAAAATATAAAAGCAAAAAGCTGTTTTTATTTCTTGCTCGCAAATGAGTTTCAGCAAATTTATAAGGACAGTTTCTGAGTGTTAAATGTCTGAATAAATTAGTGGCACAAATTTCAAAAGCAATTGTCTCTCCATTAAATTTTGCAAAGGCCATTTGTAGTTTGATAAGATTTTTTCTGATACATTTTCAATTTTTTATCGCTAACTGTCCAAAAACACTTAAATTTCATCATCAAACGAATAATTTCTTTTAGTGAAATTTTAATGTTATGTCACACGTGAATTTTCTGTATACTACTTAAATAAATTACTAAATAATATGCAAGTTGAACTGTGATTTGCAGAGAGAATTCTGCTTTCTTTCTATAAATTGGAATACAAATATGCGTGAAATTTGCATTAGTTAGGCTCAGTGGAATTGTAGAATACAATCTGTCAACTGTATCTCTGTCTAGTCCGTCCTCCTAAGATTTCCCAACGTCAAGAAACCGTCGTACTAAGGTGCTGTTATCCGAAAATACCAGAGGACCTAAACAGAAAACGGGTTAGTTTGTCAGTTTCGCGAATCGCTACCATTTTCTAGTACGACAATTTTTAGCCTTAGAGTATACGTCAAACTGCGACGTTCTATTAAGACTGGGTTGCTATCTCACACTCTCTCTTTCCCCCACTGTATTGAAAATTAGTCTAGAAGTTGACAGTTAAAATATAGGCAGTGCCAAAACTATTATCACCAATATTATTAGAGAATTCCCATTCATGAAGCAGCCTTTTCCACTGCTGAATCCACCCATAGACACCCATAACATCCTATAATACACAGCCGGTGTCATTTCATTGTAAATTTGAGTCTGAAGGCATATTGTAAGGGGAAATGAGCACTTACAAGGAACTTTAAGTTAATTCACCCGAGTCCCTTAACCTAAATAGGAAATCACTGGTAAACATAAGCGCTGGGAATGGTTTACTAGTGAAAATAAACGCTGGGAATGGGTTACTAGTGAAAATAAACGCTGGGAATGGGTTACTAGTGAAAATAAGCGCTGGGAATGGGTTACTAGGGAAAATAAACGCTGGGAATGGGTTACTAGTGAAAATAAGCGCTGGGAATGGTTTACTAGTGAAAATAAACGCTGGGAATGGTTTTACAAGTGAAAATAAACGCTGGGAATGGGCTAATAGTGAAAATAAACGCTGGGAATGGTTTACTAGTGAAAATAAACGCTGGGAATGGGTTACTAGTGAAAATAAACGCTGGGAATGGTTTACTAGTGAAAATAAGCGCTGGGAATTGGTTAGTGCGTCCACATAAGTCCTTATAAGAAAAATAATATGTGCAAAGGATATTATTAGAAAACTCTGTATATAAGTTGCATTTCCACTGGGTGTTCTCTCAGCACGAAATTTCATTACCTAGGAAATTTTGTGAACAAAAATTGTTCTCCGAGGCTTAATAGTGTGCATTCAAATATGTATATTTTCCAATTAAAGCGATTGTATATCTACATACTGGTAATTTATGTTAGAAAATATATATATATATGAAAACATATCTTGGCGGAGCAGCAAAGCGTGAATATAAAATTAAGACTAATAAGATATGAATTTCTTATTAAGGCCACTCAATAGCTCAGTCGATGGAGCTTCGGTCTCACAGACGTGGGGTCCATAGTTCGAGTCTTCTAAAGCTCAGGGAAGGAAGGAACTATCATGGGAAAGCACCAAGCCATTACGACTATATAGCACTGGGAAGGGGTCAGGATAAGGATTTGGGATGGGACGGGGGTGAAAGGAATGGTGCCCCAACCACTTGTGGACGGTCGGGAATTGAACGCCGACCTGCATGAAGCGAGAATGTCGCTCTACCGTCCACCCCAAGTGGCTGGATCAAACCCATTGAAACTGCAGTTTAATTACATTTTTATATATGAAATAACGCATTTGGGGGACATGTAAATTAAAAAAAGGACACAATTTATAATGAATAAAATAGTTACGTACCTCCATGAGCAGCACAGGTTAGTTTAACCATCTCTCCCTCGAGGTAAGGTCCTACTTGACTGCTGGCTGTTCCTTGGAGGTTCTCCACGTCTCCAATCATCACACTGACGCTCTCTGGAGGTACTGTGGGAAGAACCATCAGAACTGCTTCATTTTTTTTTATTATTATTGCTTTCTACCACAGACGTGGCCAGACATTTACAATACTAACCAGCATATATACGTTTTCTTCTGTCCTCCATGGACAGGGTTAGAGATGTGTTAAACATATAGTTCAAGGGTTTATTGAACACGCAGCCACAGGTGATTCGGTGCTTTTAAAATGCTAAGGTAACCTACATACGTAAATACATAGATACACAGATTTACGTATGCCCTACATAAAGTGTTCGGGTGGCAGATAGTGGTGTGTGTGTGTGCTTGGGAGTCGAACGCGTGTACATATATATTGTTTTAGATTCACACGAAAGCGCTCAAGTAATTTCTTGTTTCATTTTTCCTTCGAAGTTATTTGTTTTCACATTATTCATCGTGTGTTAATATCTTCGTGATTTTCATACGAGTTACATAGATTTACATGTACGCTTACACTTACGTGTTCAATATATATAAACTCTTTAATATAGCCACTCAGCCAGCGATTGCGTACAAGTGTTGGGAAGTCCTTAAACCCTAATGTACCTAAACTCTATGACTTGATATAGAGTTCGACCCTATGAAAATATATTTGTCCTGGCCACTGTTCTAGTCACTGTCCTGGTCACTGTCCTGGTCACTGTCCTGGTCACTGTCCTGGTCACTGTCCTGGTCACTGTCCTGGTCACTGTCCTGGTCACTGTCCTGGTCACTGTCCTGGTCACTGTCCTGGTCACTGTCCTGGTCACTGTCCTGGTCACTGTCCTAGTCACTGTCCTGGTCACTGTCCTGGTCACTGTCCTGGTCACTGTCCTGGTCACTGTCCTAGTCACTGTCCTAGTCACTGTCCTGGTCACTAAAGCTAAGCTTTGTTGGAAATAATAACCATTTTCTATACTTTGGAGGCATAAACAATTAGACAATCACTATCAAGGAACAAGAAAAATTTCTATACAGTGTTTATGTTTTTATGGTAAAATAAAACAAAACAAAATTCTAAGGAACGTTTCCTTAGAAAAATTTTGAGTTCTGAGCCATTTAGAGTCATTTAGAGTTTTTTAGCCATATATGTATATATATCTATGATATATACATATATATAATATATATCTTAGAGGTGATTCAGGCCCAGAGGCGGGTTATATGCTGTGACATTACAGCATAGAGCAAGGCCACAGCAGTTCTCTAAACTATTTGGGCTGTTCATTTGGGCTGTTCACTTGAGCTGTTCATTTGGGTTGTTCATTTGGGCTGTTCATTCTCTTCAGTTTTGTGTACTTTTGTCTGGGTCTTGTCTAGATGCTGGAAGCTGCAAGAACTTTTTCCACTGATTTGACCTTTCACTTAAGACGGTATAGTGTATCTAATGTTTGCTTTTGATAAGATATTTGTACAAATTTGGAGTCATAAAAGTCTACGGACTTTACGACGCGCATTTAACTTACTCAATTTTTTCACTTCCATGTGATTAACAATGTTGCATATATCAACTTTATTTTTATTTCTCGCTATTGGTTAGTGTGACATCGTCCATCTATAGATTTTATTGGCCTTTCATCCTCTATTAATTTAAGTCAGTTTGAAACGCATCTTGTTCCTATTACATAATTCATATACAATTGTTCTTTCTGACAGCATTGAATTGCCTTTAGAAATTTGTGTGACAAATCATTCGGGAGCCTTGTATACCACATATGTCAGACCAAGCCTGGAGTATGCAGCTCCAGCATGCATTCTTTACCTTGCTAAACAAAGTTATAGAAAATTCAGAGTATGCCACCAGACTAGTACCAGAGCTAAGAGGTATGAGTTATGAGGAAAGGTTACGGGAATTAAACTTCACGTCTCTGGAAGACAGAAGAGTAAGGGAGACATGGTCACCACCTACAAAATTTTCAGAGAAAGTGACAGGGTGGACAAAGATAAACTATTTAGATTGGGTGGAACACGAACAAGGGAACACAGGTGGAAACTTGGTACCCCAATGAGCCATAGAGATATTAGAAAGATTTTTTCAGTGTCACAGTAGTTAACAAATGGAATGAAATAGGCAGTGATGTAGTGGAAGCAGACTACATACACTAGAAGGTGAAGGGACGAAGACGTTTCGGTCCGTCCTAGACCAGTCAATGTTCGATCTCAAGTCGATGGATCGACTTGAGAATGGACCAGGACGGACCGAAACGTCTTCATCCCTTCACCTTCTAGTGTGTTACAATCGACTTGAGAATGGTCCAGGATGGACCGAAACGTCGTCGTCCCTTCACCTTCTAGTGTGTGGTCTGGTCAACATTCTTCAGCCACGTTATTGTGACTCATCGCTTGCAGACTACATACACTTTCAAATGCAGATATGATTCAAACCAATTGGCTCAGGAACCTATACACAAGTTGATTGACAATTGAGAAGCGGAACCAAAGAGCTGAAGCTCAACCTCCACAAGTACAACTAGGTAAGTACACGGTATTCACAGTATATTTGTAACACTGGAGCCGGTCGGCCGAGCGGCCAGCACGCTGGACTTGTGATCCTGTGGTCCTGGGATCGATCCCAGGCGCCGGCGAGAAACAATGGGCAGAGTTTCTTTCACCCTATGTCCCTGTTACCTAGCAGTAAAATAGTTACCTGGGTGTTAGTCAGCAGTCACGGGCATCTTCCTGTGGGTGGAGGCCTGGTCGAGGACCGGGCCGAGGGGACACTAAAGCCCCGAAATCATCTCAAGATAACCTCAAGAAGATAACACAATGCGGCGTAAATAATCGCAATATGTTCGGATAAAAACAACGATAAAATAATCTTCACTTCGTAAAGTTGCGAGACTGGAGATCTCGTTGAATAAAAACTGCTTCTGGAAACTTTCCTTATTAAGGTTACTCAATAGCTCGGTCGATAGAGCTTCGGTCTCACACACGTTGGGTCCAGGGTTCGAGTCTCCAAGAGCCCAGGTGAATGGAGAGATCGTTGAATGAGTGATAGTTCTGATATATATATATATATATATATATATATATATATATATATGTCGTACCTAATAGCCAGAACTCACTTCTCAGCCTACTATGCAAGGCCCGATTTGCCTAATAAGCCAAGTTTTCATGAATTAATGTTTTTTCGTCTACCTAACCTACCTAACCTAACCTAACCTAGCTTTTTTTGGCTACCTAACCTAACCTTACCTATAAATATAGGTTAGGTTAGGTTAGGTAGGGTTGGTTAGGTTCGGTCATATATCTACGTTAATTTTAACTCCAATAAAAAAAAATTGACCTCATACATAGAGAAAAGGGGTGCTTTATCATTTCATAAGAAAAAAAGTATAGTAAATATATTAATTCAGGAAAACTTGGCTTATTAGGCAAATGGGGCCTTGAATAGTAGGCTGAGAAGTGAGTTCTGGCTACTAGGTACGACATATATATATATATATATATATATATATATGTCGTACCTAGTAGCCAGAACTCACTTCTCAGCCTACTATTCAAGGCCCCATTTGCCTAATAAGCCAAGTTTTCCTGAATTAATATATTTACTATACTTTTTTTCTTATGAAATGATAAAGCACCCCTTTTCTCTATGTATGAGGTCAATTTTTTTTTATTGGAGTTAAAATTAACGTAGATATATGACCGAACCTAACCAACCCTACCTAACCTAACCTAACCTATATTTATAGGTAAGGTTAGGTTAGGTAGCCAAAAAAAGCTAGGTTAGGTTAGGTTAGGTAGGTTAGGTAGACGAAAAAACATTAATTCATGAAAACTTGGCTTATTACATATATATATATGTAATAAGCCAAGCTACATATATATATATATATATATATATATATATATATATATATATATATATATATATATATATATATAACGTACACAACAATGATCACAAAAAACATTGATCCAAGTATACGGATAAACCACATTTGAAAAATTTGAGAATGCTGAATGCGTTTTCGGCTCATTTCGCCTTCATCAGAGCAAGATAGACTCTCTATATCTTGCTCTGATGAAGGCGAATTTAGCCGAAAACGCGTTCAGCATTCTCTAATTGTTCAAATGTGGTTTTTTCCGCACCTATATAAATGATGGTATTAGTATTATATTTTAGTCTAATATTTTTCCTGCCCGAAACGCTTTGCGTAATAGTGGCTTTAGGCATTGTATGTACTAGCTGTATCTATAAATCTATTTTTTGTAAAAATTCTTGTATGTATGTACCTTACCTGAATAAACATTTATTTATATTATTATAAATTATTTGTTTTTTAAAATTTTGAGCGACGTAAAAGTCTACGGTCTTTACGACGCGCATTTCATTTACTCTATATTTTCACTTTCTTGCGATTACATTATTGCAATAATGTAATGCAGCGGACGCCATAGTCGTCGTTTCTTGAACTGGCATTCACTTCTCGTGTTAAATAATCCATCCTTTTCTACCCTGTCAATTCCCCTGAGAATTTTGTATGTGGTGATCATGTCTCCCCGGGCTCTTCTGACATCCAGCAATGAGAGTGTCAAGGCATCACTACGACTTATCTGGAATGCCAATTCCACCGGGATCAGGACAGTGATGATCGCGTCTCTCATAGCCGGATAATACCGTTATCAGTATAGAAACTTAGTTTGCACTATTCAATACAACGTCCGGCAGTACTGAATGCTGTTAGTGCTGGACCACGGGACGTCCAGCTCTGAGTACCTCCACTTGCATTCACTCAGCCCCAGCAATTGCATTCACTCAGCTAAAAAAATTGCATTCACTCAGTCCCATCAATTGCATTCACTCAGCCCCATCAATTGCTCTCACTCATCCCCACCACTTGAACTCCCTCAGCCTTATCACTTGCATTCACTCAGTCCCATAAATTGCATTCACTCTGCCCCATCAATTGCATTCACTCAGCCCAACAATTGCATTCACTCAGCCCCATCACTTGAATTTGAAGTGAGACACATCTAGGGCTGTGTCTGAAGTGAGACAC